AGTGTAATTGAAATCACATGCGGCTCATCCGTCGCTGCTCTGATGATTGATCAGGTTTTATGAAGACATGCGTCGGGCGCTGCCATGCGGTCAGATAAACCAGATGTTCGTCACGAAACCCCCTTGATACATTAGTTGCCCTTCAGACCTCATGCACTTGCTCTTCTTTGAAAGTAGACAGAATGGTATCATTGCATTTCACCTCAGGCGCTGTTTTGTCTTAAATTGTTGTTAGAATTGATTGTTACTGATTGAATTTTTGTGTATGGTTTAAATTGTCTTTGTAGTTGGCATTTCGGTTATTTGGAATGCTTGGCTGATATAATTGGATGGTTTTATAACCAAAGTTTTTGAAAAGTGCCTTAAAGTGCATGAAATACGCAGCTTTGTTTAACGGCTGAGGCGTATAGATAAACTTTTCCCTTTTTTTAGATATAGATAACGTTTTGTTTTGTCGCAGTTTTGCCAGTCAGAGTTGTTCTGTCTAATAAAAGCCAGTCTATAGCAACGCTGAGTCTAACTGTTTGCCCACTTTACTGTTATGTCCTTAAAAAAAATTTAAAAATCTGATTTTAGCATCTAATTTGATTATTTTTGCACATTTTTCTTCATTTTAAAAAATCCTGTGAAAATATACACATTTACTTATTTAAGAACAATTGATCTTTGTAATTTAAATAAAGAAAACACTGCGAGAAACGGAAAGAGTTTACACCTAAAGCTTTCTTGATCATATTTGTTTGAAAGTCATCCATGTTGTTTTACTGCTATATGAACATGCTGATGGAAGTGATGCAGAGCGTCTTTGCTTTTGTATGTGTGTTATATCAAGAGAGTGAGAAAGAAGGCTACGCTTATGACGACAGATGCATATATACAATAAATAGTAGCTTTTTATGATTGATACTCATGCTGCCTAATTCATACAGGGTTTGAATGTGAATTGCGATAACGTCACATGACGCGGATATCACACCAGACGAAAAGTGTGTATTGACAACTTGAGGCTTTGCACATCGGACGAGCACATTCTGTTCGCGCATAATATAAAGTTTTTGAATGTGAAATTATGCAGTTGACATGGCAGGAATTTTAATAGTCCCGGCTGCCCAAAATATGCAGGAAATCTGAATATCACATAATAACATTTGCTTTGATTTGACGTCAAAAGCATTTGGTTGGTCAACAGATCTAACGAAAGTTGAAGTGCTCAGTGATGTCATAAATCATTTAATATTATAAAAACTGCATATTTATCATGCTTATATCTTGTAAACGCAAATTTTGTCACTGTTTTGAAGTACTTTAGCTTATAAATACATTTAAAAGACACCTATTATGCCCATAGACTAAAATATATGGATGTAGTATCCTTGACGTCACCCATAGGTACTGTATCTGAGGAGCACAAATGAAGCTACAAGTAGGCGTGGCCAACCGTTGCCATTTTGTTCGACATTATCGCACCAACCGTGGAATACCAAACAAGGGCAAAGAGGCAGAGCTTGAGCGAAGATGCTTAGACTGGCTTTTCTTTGGGAGAAACACTTCATACTTCATTATCTGCGACTCGTTTGTGTTCTGACCACATGTGCTTGGCTGTGTACTATACCAATTAAGTGTTTTGTTTTTTTTAAAAGCACTGTTGTAATACATTAACCAACTAAACATTGTTCTAATGATGTTTTTCTACATGAGGAAAACGTGAAGGGCTTCCAAACACTTAAAATGTTGTGTGTGTGAGTAAATGCAAGGCTATTTATTAAACCCAGGCATAATACTGTATGATAACATTTCAGATGGATATTTTAAAACCTACAGCTAATCAATCTGTCAGATTCTGGAGTGCATTACAGCTATAAAGAAAATTATAAATGATAATTTATCTTAAATAAAACAAATACATTTTTTATGTTATATAAGTATATAATATCACTCACCTGGTAAATGGAGGCCACGTGAATGGTTTGTTAGCCCATTTAAGTGAACAACATGCCATAACATCTGATAATTGTAGATAATAATTCCAAAAGGCAAAACAAAACAAAAATACGATGTATATGCCAAGTTCAGCACCTTATCAGCCAGAATGACATGACGGCGAGCAGCGAGACCTAGCTGTCACTCAAGTGGCCACGCCCTTAATTATGCAGACTTAATACAACTTAATAAAAACTAAACGGATGAGTTATAAAAAAATTCATCCCCCACACAGTTGTCATGAAGGGTAATCATAGCTATATGCTCCAAAGCCATCTTTTGTACCAGGCTGTAAACATGTTTTTATCAGCTGTAAAATTGGCTATTGCAGTCTGAACATCTGGACTTCCTGAAGCCAGCCCCCAAAGGCGAGTCGAGGAATTGCAGTTTCAGTTACTTCTGTATTGGCTTCACGAGGGAGAGCGGGATGTTGCCGCTTGATTATGCCCCTTTTTACAGAATGTAAAACAACTCTTTAATGTCCCTTTTTGTGTGTTTGTGAAGTTTCAGCTCAAAATACTACACAAATAATGCTTTATAACTCTTTGAAATGGACACTATGCAGGCGTTTTGGTAACTGTCGCTTTAAATTCAAATGAGATTGTGCTGTTTTCAAAAGAGGGCGGGGCTGCAAATACCTGTGTGTGGCAAATTCAAGTGGCAAATTCAAAAACAAGACTAATGTTGTTTGCTAATGAGGGATCTCTTGTGGGCGGGGCTTTTCCCCTCTGATGACACATGCAAAGGGAGAATGTCAATCAAAGTGTTTCTGCAGACTGATCTTATCAAGTCTGATTATAATAAATAAAATTAATTCGTTTTTACCATTAGAAGCTGTTTATGTTCACACAATGTTACCACAACTGTTTTTAAACCCTTTATAAAAGTGATTTTTGCTTAATAGGTCCCCTTTAAGACATAAAATATTGATGCTATTTTTAATACTGTTTTGAGTGGGACTTTAAGGAGAGCAAGAGAAAATCTCGCTTGTTTGGAAGAGATATGTGTGTGTGTGTGTGTTTTTTTTTTTTTCATTTCGCGTCTTTCATTGATTCCAGATGTGTGCCATTTCTTACTCCTGCACTTCCTTATTTCTTATCTTTGTCTTCTCCCCTCCTACATCCCACTCCATCTCTACACACACAGATACACACACACACACACACACACACACACACACACACACACACACACACACACACACACACACACACACACACACACACACACACACACACACACACAGTGTATTATTGTAGTTGTGTGATGGTGTTACCATGTCATTGAGCATTGATGGCCAATGTATTAGACTGAGTGATTGTACAAGAGGGGGAAATAAAATGCTCAAGCTTGTTGAGTCTTCGATCACATACTGTAGATCAGTCTCATATTTTCTTCCACACAAACCTCCTCTTCTTGTGCTCTCTTTCCTTTTTACATTTGGTGAGTGTGTCTTTTCTGTAAGGGTTGTGTTGCTGCATAAAAGTCTGTGTTCTTGTATGGCAGAGAGTTTTTGCTGCTGCTTTTTTCTTTTTGTTACAGAGGTCAGCGTTTTTACGAGGCCGTAAATGTCTGAGATTGTCATGTGAAGATAGCTTGACTTTTTTATATCTGGTATCTGTCTGATCTTCCAAACTGGGATTTTGATCATACCACAATAATAATTTTTATTTTATTTGATTACATTTCATTTAAATTTTATTTATTTTGTTTTATGTAATTTTATTACATACAATATTACTTTATATTTATTGTATTCATTTTGTTTTATTTTATATATTTATTTTATTAAATTCCAATTTATCTTTAATTATTTTACTTTAATTACATTTTCTTAAATTAATAATTTTTATTAATTTTTTTCTTACCTTATTTTATTTTGTTACATTTTATTTTAGATCTGTTTATTTGTAATTATTTTATTTGATTACATTTTTTTATATTTTTATTTTATTACATTTTATATTATTTTTACTAATTTATTTATTTTATTTTATTACATTTTATTTATTTTATTTTATTACATTTTATTTTATTACATTTTCATTTTATATATTTTATTACATTTTATTTTACTTTTTTAATGTGTTAATTTTATTCATTTTATTTTATTTATTTTATTTTATTACTTTATTCTTTTTTATTCTATTTATTTTGTTTTGTTTTATTTATTTATTTTATTACATTGTATTTTATTTTTATTTATTTTACTTTAATTAAATTTTATTTTATTTATTTTATTTTTATTACGTTTTATTTTATATCTGTTTATTTTATTTAAAAATGTATTTTATTTATTTTATTACTTTTTGGATAGACTATAGAGACAACTAAATATAAAATAAAAGTTAAATGAAACTATTAATAATTAATAAAATGATATAATTATTTTATTGTACATATTTACTATATAGTCATATAATACAAAAAAATATTTGTTATTCTTTTTATAGAGTTTTATAAAGTTAAAGTATTTTCACGAGACGCTTTACATGAAAATAAATGAAAACAGGGTTTATACATACAATAAGCTTTAAAAATGAATCAAATCTGTGTATAGGAATCATGTACATTGTGTTTTTTATTCAAAGGTTCTTGTCAGCTCTAAAGTTGTGAAAATCTTGAGTGTTTCTGGCCCTGTAAACATGCCTAAAAAGCTCTGGGAGCGCTTTCAATCTTTGAAAAGTAATTTTTTTTATGCTCCCATCTTTATTAAATATTAATTTGAAACTTCAGGGAACCAGGAGCTGGTTAATGTCTTCTGTCAGAGACTCTGCAGTATGCAGACTAAATAACTTAAACATCTGCAGATGGAAAAATCCTTGTGTGTGTGTGTGTGTGTGTGTGTGTGTGTGTGTGTGTGTGTGTGTGTGTAGTGTGTGTGTGTGCGTGTACTAATGCATTAACCTGCTGATGGCATGATGCCCGGCTGATGCCATACGGTGATCAAACACTCATCGTTCAGAAAGGTGATGATGGTTGTAACAAACACATTTGCTGTGTGTGTTTTTCTTCTGCAGTTGAGGTATCAGCATGGACTCTCCACACCGGACCTGCGGCAGACTTTACCCAACTTGAAGAACTTCCTAGAGCATGGGCTGCTCGTACGATGGTAAGTTACAGCATTAATACTGCTCTATGTGAAGGTATGGATGTACATATTCAAAATCCCAAAGACTTCCTATAGACAGGGATCTTTGTAACGAAACACCAACCGCCTGGAACATTATAACAACTGCTTAGTAACATTATGGCAAGTGCTTTGCATTTTTGAAGACAATTTTAGAAACATGTTATGCATTTTTCTCATACTTCCCTCATTTGTTCACATATCGATAATGTTTTTACAGAAGTGTTTACATTATTTTTACTCTGTATTTTTAGGACAATGTTAAAATAGTAGCATTTTTAATAAGTTGAATTTTTATTTGCCGTTTTTATTTCCACAGAAAATGTGGAAATATTTTAATTATTTATGCCTATATTTTAACTCAGATTTTTCATTTGGATTTGTGTTTTTTATAATTCCGTAGTTGATTCATGTGTATTCATAATCTCCATTGAAATATGAATGAGCATAATTAATGTTTATATTAGTGGTGGGTAACCAATATTTACATTTACATTGATATTTAATTTCGCAATTCATTCATATCTGTAGCCATGTTTGTCAGAGGAAATAATAAGAAAGTAACAGTTTGTAGATATTTTTATATTTTCTTTTTATATTTATCCACAATATTTTTCAGTGGATGTTGAAATGTTATCTATCTATCCATCCATCTTTCTCTGTCTGTCTGTCTGTCTGTCTGTCTGTCTGTCTGTCTGTCTGTCTGTCTGTCTGTCTGTCTGTCTGTGTATGTATGTATGTATGTCTGTTTGTTTGTCTGTCTGTCTGTCTGTGTCTATCTATCCATTCATTTGTCCATCTATCTATCCATCCATGCATACTTTTATCCATTCATCCACCCATCCACCTATCCATCCATTCATGCTTTTGTCCATCTATCCATCCATCCATCCTTTTATCCATGCATCCATACATCCATCCTTCCTTTTGTCCATTCATCCATCCATCCATGCATACTTTTTCCAGTCATTCATCCATCCATCATCCATCCATCCATCCATCCATCCATCCATTCATTCCTCCATACATTCATTCGTCCATCCATTCGTCCATCCATTTGTCCATCCATCCATCCATCCATCCATCCACCTTTCCATCCATCCATCTATCCATCCAGCCATGCAAACATTTGTACCATCATCCATCCATCCATTCATACCTTTGTCCATCTATCAATTTATCCATCGATGCATACTTTTGTCCAGCCATTCATCTATTCATCCATACATACTTTTGTCCATCCATCCATCCATTCATCCATCCATCCATACATGCATACTTTTGTCCATTCATCCTTCCATGCTAATTTTTGTCCATCTATCCATCCATGCATGCATTTGTCTGTCCATCCATCTATTTATTCTTGTCAATCTATCCATCCATGCATATTTTTGTCCATCCTACGTCCATCCGTCCATCCATGCATACTTTTGTCCGTCCGTCCATCCATGCACACTTTTGTCTGTCCATCCATCTATTCATTTTTTTATTAATCTATCTATCCATTTTGTCCATCTATCCGTCCATCCATCCATCCATCCATCCATCCATCCAATTTTCTAAGAAAATTAAAATATGAAATATCTTGTTATAGATTTTTTAGAAAATTGTAAATGATGGTCCTACAGCACATTGTATGTGCATGTTTCATTTTCATTTAGTTTAGGGGTTAACAGGTTTATTAACAGTCCATTTGCTTTTTAAATCTAGCATTTGTTGATATGCACTGATAAACCACTCCAGTAACCAAGCCAACAAAAAACAACAACAAAAAAGCAATTTCACATAAGCCATGGTAAAAACCCACAACTGTATCCCTCTAAAAAACCAATGGCAATGTTGAAGAAAGCCTGCTTTTGATCTCTCGGTTCAGCGATAGGCAAACCATCTATCCGTATGTTAATTTAATAATCTGTGTTTTGAAAGGACGGAGGCCAGCATAAGTGAAACGCTTCAGCGTCATCGTCTTTTCTTCCCCAAGTAATGTTTAATGGATTGTGGAAATGCTTAAGATGGAACAGATGAAAGTGTGACCTTTTGACCTCTTGAACCGTACAGAGTGGCAGGAAATAAAGAAGGAAGTGGAAGTCCGGTTGCGCCGCGTGGCTAAACGCAGCCGGAGGGCAGTCGTATTGAGTCAACCTTAAAACCGTGAAAGAGCGGTTTCCGTCTCTCATGGGGAAGAGGAACTGTATACACAAACACAAAACTGCAGAACATTCCTCTCGACATCTTCCTTATAAAACCAACCCTGCAGACATAAACGATAACTTACAGCACATTGAGGCTCTCCAAAAGTCCAGAGCAGTGCATCTGCTAGTGTCCAGTCTCGTTCCCCAACACGGGAAGCAACATTCTGGATCCAGAGCTGAAGTATGAAATATAGAGTGAATGGATTCTCTTTTTTTTTTCCTTTAGTTGCAGACTGCTTTTATTACTCTTGCATCCACTTCCTCTCATGCACTCCCTCCCCTTTGAGTTTAGATAATGTTTCCAGGGCAGGGGCCAGAGATGTGAATTATCTGCGCATAAAAGTCTGCATCAGGGCAGCTGCAAGCGTTCCTCAATGAAAAGAAGTGGAGGGGAATGGCAGAGAAGTGGGAGTGTTGCACAGGTGTACCTTGGGAACTTCTGCAGATCCTGAGAAGCACATTTGGAGAAAATTTTGGATTACAGTTCTTCTGTAATCCCAGCGGATGTTTATGTGGGAAAAGGGAGATGGCGGAGTTTTTCGTGGCTTAATGAAATTGTTTGATCTGTTCAGATTTTTTATAATAGTTGACAGAGTCTGAACAGACACAGTCCCGTCCCACAATGTGTGTGTATGTGTGTGTTCAGAGGTTTTTGCATATGTCTGCATTTCTGAACAGGGGTTATTAATATTTGATCGTTTAGCAGAACATTTGGCTCTGATTGATGGACTCAGCATGACTTTCGGCTCGATTTACAGACTGGACGATAAAGTAAAGATCTTCATGGGATAACGACCTGATTCCAAGTTTTTTAGGATCATTTCAGACATGCAAAAGTTGAAATACTAAGTCAGAATATTAGCAGCTTTCCAAGATCATTTCTGTTATGATATTGGTTGTCGCATACCTCTTTTTCAAATCTGTTCTTTGTTTTTCGACACCCAGTGCACCAGGAGAAGTAGCTCTTAAGTAGCACCAAAACACTGCTGGGCAAGAAGTAAGAAGGGACCAAGGCGATGAACAGATACTCACACAATCCAATCAGGTTGTTCCAATCTCCTAAAATCTTCATTTGTCTCCTGTACACAAATTAAGACATTTTAGATCAAATCAGAGCTCTCTCTCATCTTCCATAGAATGCAAGAGTCCCGAGATATTCAGAGTCCAGGTAAATCACCAAAAACATTTTGTCAGAACATTCCATGCAACTTCAGTGCTTCAACTGTAATCAAATGAAGCTCTAAGACAAGGTTACCCAAACTCGGTCCTGAAGGGTTGGTGTCCTGCATGGTTTAGCTACAACATCTTTTAACACACCTGACTGGAAGTTTTTATTATGAATAGAAAAAGCTTGATTAGCTGGTTCAGCTGTGTCTAATTGGGGTTGGAATTAAACTGCAGCACACTGGCTCTCCAAGGCAGGGTTTGGCGACCACTGCTCTAAGAACTTGTGAGCCAGAACAACTGTAACTATATGTCGTTTACTGTATTTCAGACAGTATGATGTATTGCCATAAGAGCCTGCAGCACAACACTCAAGCGTGGTATTACCCATTGAAAATGCACATCATGATCTGATATGGAAGACACAGGCAAATAAAATACAAAGTTGCTGTCAATAGTCAGAGAGCTCTCGGATTTCTTCAAAAATATCTTGATTTGAGTTCTGATAATAAATGAAGGCCTCGGAGGGTTTATAACAAATCAATAACAGAACTAACCCTTTAAAGCCCAAAGTATGTTTAAGTCATTTTCTATGACAGTCCTCGTACTGTTCAATTCAATTCATCTTTATTTCTGTAGCGCTTTTACAAAGTCGATTGTGTCAAAGCAGCTTAACATAAAAGTTCTAATAGATTGAAACTGTCAGTCTTGATGTTTAGTTCAGTTCAGTGTGGTTTGATTTTCACTGCTGAAAGTCCAAACACTGAAGAGCAAATTCATAGATGTGCAGCTCCACAAGTCCCCAGCCAAGCAAGCCAGTGACGACAGTGGTGAGGAACAAAACTTCACCAATTGACTAAAGTGCAGGAAAAAATACATTGAGGATAAACCAGGCTCAGTTGTTGCACGACCATTTCTCCTCTGGCCAAACTTTCTGTGCAGAGCTGCAGTCTTGGCATCGGGGGCTGGAGAACGTCCAATGTGGAGAAGCGGCAGGTATGAGAAGGCCACCGGCTGGCGTACAGGCTGGCCCATGGGATCAGTGCGGAGACTTGTCTATAGTGCAGAGACTGTCAGTAGTAATGAAGCTCAAATTTTTCTGTTTATGTAAATGTTCTGGGTCAATAGCGTAGACACAAGGTGAATGTTGAGAATAAAAAGGTTCATTAGGCGCTATTCGGATTTGACTCCATTTCACCCATAATCTCTTAACCCTGGGTACATGCAGAAAGAAAGGTCATTTCAGTGTTAAAATATCTTTTTATATGCACTAGGCACAGAATAGTACTGTAAGTCATTCTAGGTTGTATTCTCCAAAAACAAAAGTAAATGGACATAAGTAGACACAAGGTGAATGTTGAGGTTGAGCGGGTCCATTGACTACTCTCATTTGACTCTGGTTCACCCATAATCTCTTAGTCCTGGGTAAATGTAAAAAGAAAGGTCCTTTCTATGTTAAAAAACCTTCTCATATGCATGTTAATAACAGAGAATTGTAAGCCATTCTTAGTTGTTTTCTCCAAAATTGAAAAAGTAAATAGACAAGTACACAAAAGGTGAATGGTGAGGTTGAACGTGTCCATTAGGTATTCTGATTTGACTACACACTTAGAGAAGACAGGCAGA